CTTGAGAGGAACAAACTGAGATGGGGAAGAAGTAGATTGAAGGGCTACAGGAGAGTACTAGAGGAACGAGATGGAAGATGAGAAAGAGCCAGATGGGAAGAACAAGATGAAGTAGAACGAGAAGAGGAGAGAGGAGATGGGAGAGGAGATGATATGGGAAGGAACAAAGTGGATGAGAACCTAGAAGGGGCAGAACTAGATTTAAGACAGAACCTAGAGGGGATCACAGATAAGTGTAGAGAAAAAATCAGGCTAAAGATGACCTAAATATGAGAGCAGAATATAAGCTTATAGCTGTCACAGAATAATAAAGTATATGGACTAAGGAGTTTCGTGTACAGAGATTCATTTCATTTCATCAAAAATTAATTATCAGCTGGTTGTAGATTCTTCCCGGACCCTGGGAGGGGACTATCCAGGGGCTGGACCCCCATAGTACCCGATACCAGGTCAGTGTGTGGCATAAGCATATGGACACCACTGTGTCCCATTGTACACATAGAAAGGCAGGAGAGAAGTTGGCAGCCTTGGTCAGCCCTAAAGAAAGCCTATGTGGAGGAGGTGCTGGCTGGAGGGCCCCCAGGAAGTGACCTCACTTCCTTAGTATTATCACAGATGGAACTCAGGCTCCTGGTTACCAGGTAACCAGCCATCAACAGCAGCCTCAACTGACTCACTTCTCTGGAGGCACTAGAACAGTAAGGATGTTCTCTTGCTTCAGGAGTTGTGGTGGCTCAGGCCACCCCAAACCAAAGCATCCTGGCCGGTTCCAACGTGTGCTGCGAAGTATTTATGGATACCTCTGTCCATTTTCCCATAGGGAAAATGAGGTAACACAGGCCAGCCTGTAGCCAGGAGACTTTTTGGTCCCCCTGATCCACTGCAGTTCCTGACTGGGTCTTTGTTCCTGTGAGAACACTGAGGAACATCTTTTATGCTCACTTTTCACTTCAGTGTGTGGTAATGGGTTGTTATTGTCTCTGAGATTTCACATTTAAACCCTCCTTCCTTCCTTGGTCTTTCCTCAGGATAACAGGAATCAGGAAGATGACCCCATATTTGATCCACAGAGCCCAACCTATATGAAAGACCTTATCAATCATATACCAAAAGCCATTAAGGATGAGAATTACCTATTTATATTTATAGTATTGGCTGTCTACCCTAAGTTTGTGACCACCTGGAAGATGCTGGACTTAATTATGGACACGTGAGTGGCTACACACAAGTCAGGCTCTCAAGCCCCCTGTTTGGTTCTAGACCATCTCCACCCTTCTCTGGGACTGTATGCTCTCACAGAACAAGTATTATTGTGCCCTGGCATCATTGGTCCTGGGCCTGGACCTTCCAGATGACATGGCCAGAGATAGGGGTAGGGGAGACAACGCGAGATTGTCATTCACTTTTCTCTAGAAGTGTCAAACACTATCCATTCTTATCCCCTGAGCAGAGCCTTTCCCCCATTTGTATAAAAGGTTCTAGACACTATCTAGGTTTGATGGGGTTAACAGAAGCAGATAAGGGTCCCTGGGGCCACCCAAGAAGTCCTCTAACAACCAAAAAACCTAAGGAGGAGAAGCTTAGGTTACCCAGTGTGGGAAGATCCTTGAAGAGCTGTGACCAGAGGCTCATTCCCAGGCCCTAACCATGGAAGTCAGAACATTGCAAGGAGCCCTGAGGACCCTCATCCCCTTCCTGGCTTCTATTTCTCTACCTGATTCAAGTAGCTCTCTCAGGATCTCTTGGTGGGTTGGGGACACATGGCCTTAGTGGTGACACCCTCATGGAATGCCACAGGTATGGACCTTTGCGGCCAGACTGTGTGGAGGATCAGGAAAAAAAGACGTGAGTTGGCTTGGGTGACGAGGGAGGTAAGAGCCCCTCTACACAGTGGGATGTCTGGGGTGGCTAGGGTTGAGGACTGAGCTGTTACCAGTCACCCCGCTCTTGGGATTCCCACTAGAGGGATGGTACCAGAGACTTCACGTGCAGGTGGAGAAAAACAGAAATCTCCATTGGTCTCCTTGGTCCTGAGGAGCACAGGGATTGATGGAAGCTAAAGGGCCCTAGGGGAAACCATCCCCACTACAGCCCAGCCCAGTCTGCCCAGTCCGTCCTCCAAGGCACAGAAAGTGTCTCGAGCCCTCTCCATACAGCTCTACAGTCCTGACCACCATGCCCAGCAGCACATGGGCTGGGCAGCCCTTTCCTCATCTAAGGGACACTGCTGTGCTGGTGAAGTGAGGCCAGGCTTCTGACTCCACTTCCCTCCAACCTGCTCCTCCCTGCAGTGCCTTATTATCCTTCCTGTCGATATGGAGAATAAAACACCCCCGGGACTTCAGTCGGTCTCCAGACCTTGCCGTGGCCAAGAGGCTCGTGAAATATCTATGGCCCGATGAGCCTGCAAAGGACCTCACTCTTCAAGGAGAGGAGCTGGAGGAGCAGGAGTGTAAAACGGGCGAGGAGGCCTGGGGTAGGTGCCTGGGAAGGCTGAGGTAATTTCGGCGATGGGTTGCACCAGGAAATTGTCCAGATATCCCGGCCTGGAACCAGAGCTGGACACCTGTCGGGTGAGATGTCCTGTTGTGGGGAGAGGGGACTGGGGATTTTCTGACATGAACAGACCTTGTGTGACCATCAAGGCCATCTCTGGGAAGCTCACCCCATCATGGAAACTTCTAGGGCACTTCCACTAACGGTCCATCTCTTTCTGCCTTAGATGATGGACTCCTCAGGGAAATAAATCCAGAGGCACCCACGCAGGATGCATCAGGGATGGTGGAGACTCTGCATCTGGGACCAACTTCTGTGGCAGGGCCCCAGGAATTTCTGAAAACCCAAGACGACACAGACCTGGCACCTGGGGAACCAACCGTGCCAGAAGCTGGACCAGTGCCACTTCAAACTTCAGATCAGCCTCTGCCCACTGATGCACAGCCACCTCTAGAAGTGGCTGCAGATGTTCCAGATGCTGGGCAGCTCTTTCTAGTTTCTGTTGTGCAGTGGGGTGTACCAGAGCCCGTTTTCCCTCTGCCTGATGTTGACATATAGTGAGGTTGTTTATTACCTGCTGAGTTCCACCCAGAACCAGCTGTCCTTCCCGTCTTTAGAGAAAGTATCATCTTTAATTTTGTTTAATTCTTATTGTTGTTTTCAAAGTTTATATCACGTTTAATTATATTTATTTTATTACATTTTTATTGTTTTTAATATTAATATTTATTAATAAACATTAAGTATGCTTAATTCTTTTCTTTGTTTTCATTGTTAATATCGCCTTTAATTTTGTTTATTTCTTTCTTATTAAAGGTTTTATTGTTAATATTCCCTTTAATATTCTTTAATACTTTTTTCATTGTTTTCAATGTTATTATTGCCTTTAATTATGTTTAATTCTTATTTATTGTTGTGTTCATTGTTAATATTGCCTTTCATTTTGTTTAATTCTTTTTATTATTCTTTTCGTTGTTAATATCTCCTTAAATTTTGTCTAATTCTGTTTTATTGTTGTTTTCATTTTTAGTATCTCTCTGAATTTTGTTTAACTTTTTTTAAGGCATGGTCATGTATTTGTTACCCTTAAAGACTAATTTCTGACTGGATTCAGACTTAGAAGTAGGAGCACTCAGAGAGGATAGTCTATGTCTCTTGGTGATCTGGTCCTGGTGCTTTACTTGGGCGTCCTTCATTCTCTTGCCAAAAGTTCAGCACAGTCTGCAGCCTCCTCCTTGTCTTCCTTTGTCCGTTGTTTCTCTAGAGCAAACACCGGCGTTTGTGCTGCAGGACATGAGGAGTGACAGGATGCTGAACCCTGGGTGCTTTGGTCCTGGACTTCTTACTTCTTTGTTTAATGACTTTCTGACCATGTATTATTGGCAGACATCATCTTCCTTAAAGAGATTAAAAAGCTTTCAGATTCTGCTAGCTCTTTTAGGTCTCAACCAACAAGGAACAGTAGTATCTGTCCATCCAGAAATATCCTCCTCTCCTTTTCCCCCCCCCCCAATAACCAAGTTGAGAACACTGAGATTGGCTTCCATGATGCATCCTCAACCAGACTTCTTCCTCTCTCCTGTTCTCCTTAGTCTATAACAAGAACGCCCCTTACTCAACAGCAGGTGCACTCTGCCATGGGTCAAAATGCCATGCTTCATGGGAAAACCTTGTCATTCCTGCCACCGATTTGGACCACATATCCCTTCCATTATTCACCCAGAGCATCAGCAGCTGCTTCTGTGTTCATGGGCTTCTCATAGAACACACGAAGCTTGTATTCAGCATTCACTTCAATGAGTTTCTCACAGCCGGGGGCAGGGAAGGAGATATTCAGCTTCATCTTGACACAGCTAACCACCTAGGAGGTCCCACGAAATGGGCCATGCGGAGAAAGATGATGTCAATTTAACTGTAATGGTGCTCCCCATTCTCACCAACCCTGAGCCCAGAGCTGTGTATACACACTCAGTGTATGTTGTGACACTTGTCACACCCCAATGAACATGTTTAAACGGATGGTTATCATAAAGAAGTGCCAGGTTTTCCAAGAATTCTGGGGGTGATCAACACATGACAGAATTGAGTCCATGGAAATTTTTCACACTTGTCTGTGGGGAATGGATTGCATGCCAGCTTATGTTCAGTATGTCCAGTAAAAACCCCCCAAAGGACAAAACTAGAGGTCGTCGTTAAAAATAGCTCACTGTTGTCCTCGTCCAGGGCATGTGAGATGCCACCTACCATTTAGAGGACACTGAAAGGGTGTCAGTGGCCTTTTAGGGTGTAGGGCACCTCATTTCAGGTATGATAAGGGAGGACCCCCACACACACCACCACCACATCACTGTCTACCATGCATTTGGCTTTGGAAAGGTTATATACATCAGGCTAGTTCATGTCTCATCAAGAAGTGAGTTGTTAGTCCAGTGCCGGTGGCTCACACCTTTAATCCCACCAGTCACGAGGCAGAGGCAGGTGGATCATGTGAGTTTGATGTCAGCCTGGTCTACAGAACGAGATTCAGGTCATCCAAGGCTACACAGAAAATTCCTAACTCCAAGAACCCCTCCCTCTCATAAAAGCTAGCTGCTTATGTCATCTAGTCACCAGAGTTAGGGTGTCCAATGGCTCTGGGGAATAGAGATCCAGGGCTGCATTAGACAGTTTGAGAGAAACCCCATCCAGGCTGTAGGCTGGGGACAGGCTTTCCTGTTGAACTGTAGAGGCCTGTCCAGCACAGAGAACAGAGAGGGGGCGGTAGCCATAAGTGATGGAGGCAGTGGTCTAGCCGTCATCTCTATACACGGAGAAAGGGAACTAGTACATTAGCAATATGTGCAAAAAGTCTTGAAGAATCCACAGAACATTATCAGAGCTAGTAAGGTAGTTTAAGAAAATCACAAAGGACAAACCAGCACACATCACAAGAAATGAACTCACCATTTAACTGGACACCAGCCATGCCCAGGGAGGACACCAGATAAGAGCATCGACTCAAAAGCACATCACTGGAAAGTAAGTAGATGCAGCCATTCAAACAGCCATCGAGTCTGTTACTGCCTTGTCCCCTGCTCTCCATAGTATACCTAACGTTCCCTCTAGAAAAATTCAAAGAAATGTAAACAATGGGTAAGAAATTAAACAGGTAGCTTAAAAACCAAGAAAGCCAAGAGATGCAGAAATGGCAGTTCATGAGTTAAAGGACCATAACTTTTTAAGTTGGTGATATGGGAATCCTCCTGCACCCTCCACATGATTACTGTGGTGGACAACAGTGGGAATGCGTATGTCAATGTCCCTAGGTGGTTTCAAAGTACCCACAGCACAATCCAGATTGGGATAGGAAGATGGCTGTCAGTATGCTGCCTGCTGAGAAAGCACAGGGACCCGAGTTTGGATCTCCAGGATTTACATAAAAAAAAGATGCTATGGTCATGTGAAGACGATGCCCAATGTGCTGTGTTTACTTTTGTTGTGGTTGTTGTTTTCAACTTGATACAGGTAGGGTCAATTGTTAGAGGAAACATTAGATGAGAAAATGCCTCTATCAGATTGGCCTATAGGTAAGTCTGTGGAGCATTTTCTTGAATAACAAATGCTCTATGTGGGAAGGTTCAGCTCACTGTGGGCAGTTCCACCCCTGTACTGGTGTTTTGGGGTGCTATAAGACAGCAAGTTGGGCAAGCCATGGGGAGCAAGGCAGTCAGCAGTGTTCCTTCATGGCCTCTGCTTCAGTTCCTGCCTCCAGGTCTCTGTCTGCATTTCTGTCCTGACTTCCCTTCATGATGGACTGTAAACTGTAAAGAAATAAATGCCTGCTTTTCCAAAGTTGTTTTTGGTCACTGTTCTATGACAGCAAGAGAAAGGAAAACTAAGACACCCTAGGTGATAGTAGGTCCCCAGGTCAGCCGGTCTTGTCAATTGGTGAGCACTACATTCAGTGAGAAAATGTGGTTCAATGAAAACTAGGAGTAGAGGGATTTAAGGAAGACATGTGGTGTCAAACTCCTGCTTCCACGGACACCACATGAACACAAAGACATATGTACACACTTACACATGCATACACCACATATACACAAGGCTACACATGCTCACTCCACACATGTAAATGGACATATACACACACTTAAGGCACATAGCTACATACTTACACGTGTGTGCACACAAACACCAAAACACGTGTACTGTTACAAACATAACACACACACACACACACACACACACACACACACACACACAGATATACATACATACAGAAAACAAAACAACTAGATCACAGCCACTTTCAATCCCACCTCAAGCAGCTATTACCAGCTATGTGGGATCAACTGTCAAGACGACAGCCAGAAGGATCAATGGAGCTGAGGCAAGAGTCCAGAAACTGAGAGAGAATGGTCCCGGGGTGCAGTGCTCACAAGGGTCTCGCTGTGTAGTTCCGGCTCACTTGGAGTTCACCTTGAAGTCTATGCTGGTCTTCATCTCCAGATCCGATCCTCCAGCCTCTAAATCACTGATTCTTAACCTGTGTGTCACCACCCTTTGTGGGTTGAATGGTCCTTTCACAAGGGTCACTTAAGACCATCAGAAAACACATATATTTACACTAAGATCCATAACAACAAAATCAGAGTTATGAAGTACCAATGAAAATACTACTATGGCCAGGTTTACCACAGCATGAGGACTGAAGTAAAGGGTCACAGCATCAGGAAAGTTGAGAACCACTGCTTTAAAGGGTAGGATTACAGGTGTGCACTACCATACCTAGAAAAAACATTTATTCTTCTGGTGGAATGTTCTCCATCATGAGAGCTCCTTCTTCATTAGATGATTGCCCCTGCATAAGGCCGTGGACACATGGGTTAAAAGACTAGACAGAGGCCATGGGCTCCACACAGCCAATGATAACTAAAGATCATGTGCAAGAAAGGGTTCATGAAGAGATGGTGGGACCCAAGACCAGGCTCCAAAGATCAATTGTCAGTGATAACCAAAATGTCATGTGGGTTGCTGAGATGTATGTGAGGTTTTACTTCTCTGTCTTGTGAGACCTCTTAGGTAAAATTGACACAGTGCAACTTAAAGCCAGAACAAGATTCCTTCCCTTCACCCCACCCAAGGTTATACAAGTGTAAACACCTGGTGGGGGAGGTGACCCGGATGTGGTTGGTGACCTGCAAATAATATTAAACTTGGGGACCCAGGAAATGGAGGATTGGAAGCTCAGAAAAATTTTCAACCTGTTTCTGATCCCTTTTCTGGACATTTACAGGCTCTGTTTAAGAGATCAATGACAGTTCCCACAGTTTATAGGGAAAGAAACACCATTGCTGACAGCAAACAGTTCTCTAAAATGGTGTTTCACAACACAATGCAGTGTATTGACCCGGGTAGCATAAAGTGTCAACTTGTCACAGCTAGAGTCATCTGAGGGGAGACCCTCCAATGTGGGATTGGCCTAGATCAGATGGGCCTGTGGATATGTCTGTGAGGGACTCTTTGATTGTTAGTTGACGTAGGAGGGCTCAGCCCACTGTGGGAGGTACCATCCCTAGGCACATGGAAATCATCTGTATATGAAAGCTAGCTGGGTATAAGCCAGCTGGCAAGGCAGATAATAAGCAGCTTTCTCTATGAGCTCTAATTTTTGCTTGTGAAATGTGATC